TTGGGACCACAAACCAACACAGCATTGTTAATAGACCTTTTTTAAAATTATTGGTCAACAAAAAAGTGGACCCCCAAAACCTGTGGGGAAGCCCACCCGTCACACACCCCTCCCTACAGGCCTTGAAACAACAAGATAGGAAGGAAGGAAGCAGCTAGGGATATCTTTTAGTTCCATTTTTTAACGCTTGCCTGGATGTGACAAGATGACCACTGCTCCACCTTCCACTGGAGTGTGTTGGCGTATCTGATGAAGTAGTCAGCCCTTCACGTTTAGCTAGGAATATTAGAGTGCTCTTTGACTTTAATATGAGTCTGGAGTAACATGTTACCGTGGTGGCTAAATCGGCATTTTATCACTTAAGAAACATAAGCTGCATTAGGAAATATATTAGTTTGCAAAAATTAGACTTTTGCAGTTCCCTTTTATATGGAATACCTAAGAAAGTGGTAAAAAGATTTTAGTCACTCAGTAAAAGAGAGCATATCACCCCTATTTTAGAAGGGTCCACTATCTGCCAGTTGAACAACATGTTATTTTTAAGATATTAGTAATAACTTATAAGGCACTGAATAATCTTGCTCCAATCTATCTCTCTGAATAAGTTAAGCAGTACATACCTAGAAGCATAAGAATTGAGGTAGCCAGCAAGTTTAAACAGGTAACCAACTAAATCGAAAAAGGGCAGTCAGCCCCCACTCTTCTTTTAAGGGAAGTGTAGGGGCATACTTCCCCAGAATAAATTTAAACCTTTGGATACCATAAAATGCAATTTCAGCGTTTCGGGCACTAAATTTAGTAAAAGAAAGATATAGTAATATCTTCTATAAACAAGTTTTTAATCTCAACGCTGTTCAATAATGAGTTTAAATAACGGTAAAAAGTATCTTTTTTAGTTTTATGACTGCTTTAATTGAAGTTTTGTCAGAATCAATCTTTTAATACTTCAATCTCAGCCTTAATTACAGGGGGGGGGGAGTAGCCAACTTGTGAGAGCAAAGTAGTCGACTGCTCTTGTCGGTTGTCAGTGCTTATTAAACCCCTGACGAGCTCTGAGCCTTAGATCTTCTGATAGTAATCTTCTTATTACTATGGCCTGTAAGTTAAGAACCACCTGAACAGACTACGTGTACGGTTACAGAGCCTTCTCATCCACCAGTTACCTTAGAATGTAAGCCAGGGTGCTGTGGAAGTCCTAAATGAATTTAAATGTTTAGTTTAAAACTATCTCTTTAGGAAGGCTTTTAATTTATGATCAGACAAGCAACATATTCCCCACATTTTTATTTGATTTTTGTTTGATTTTATTCATATCTTTATTCATTTTTAAAAAATATTGTAAATATCAATGCATGCATCAATCTTTTTTTATTAACATCCAGTTCCCCTACATTTATGTCAAAACAATTGTCATTGGGTTCAGTTACATGTAGGGAAACTATAATAATTATTTCGTTACACAAGAAAGAGTGATACCTTGTTATGCATTTAGTTACACTTAAATTGGATTGAGTTGCTTTGACAAATTTAATCAATAAAGCCTACATACATGTATATAAATATAGTTTCTTATACAAAATAATGACATAATCATGCGCTAATGTACGATGACTGTGCAAAAAATATGGTCAAACTTGGGTGGCCTGTAAACCACAGGGTAATGAAACACCAGCAGTCATATAATACCTTGAACCAGGGCTCGACATTAACAGCTACCCACTTGCCTGGGGCACCTTAAAATTTTATCCTCGCAAATAAGTCTAGGATCCTAGTTGCCCGATTGGACAACTGAAATTTCTGTGAAAGTTGTAAATTAACATGACTCAGTATTTTTGGATCAAGTCTATCTTTTGAACTATCAAAACTGTTTTATAATATTTTGTGAAGGTTTGTATTTACATGCATTGTGCACAACTGAGTAAATTAAAAAATCATTTTCAAAAACTGGAATGTTTTTCAAGCCTCTCAGAAATGCTACCACAAAACATACAGCGAAAAACGGGTGTAGATAATGCTGAATAAACGAGTGTACCGTTCATGCTCATACAAATGTAGCAATATAGAAAGCACTACAAACTTGCAAAAGCAATGTCATTTGTAATTTGACACCTCTGCTTTTCCACGGATCGAGACTATTTATCAGTTTTTTCTTCACGCAATAGTGACCTAACGTTTCTAATGGTGGGGGAAATGTCGTGATTTTAATATCAAAGGTTTTTTCAAAGACTATTAAATTCATTCAATGCTGTTTTCAGACGAGAAACTTCAACTGCAGTGCAGGGGAAGTCACAGAAGGATTTCAAGACAAGTGCTTGTTTGTTTACCTTTTGTTGACAGAAAGACTATTTTGGCTATGGCCGACGACAAAACTAACTAAATGTTTCCCGTTTTCATTTTAAAAGTGCCAAATTAACAGGGAATTTTGCTGTTTGTTCACCAAATGTTAGCCTGAGAATCATAAGTTTTAGGCACCTGTTCGGGCTCAGTGTTTGAAATTTTGGTTGTCTGAGGATAAATCATGCTTAAACGCCTTTGGCCACCAAGCGCTTGTTAGGCAGCAGCCTTGTGAGCTCAAACCTAATTCGATTTGGCAAATAAATGTGAACAAATCTTTGTTTAGAATATTGTCCTTATTTATCCTCTGATAACTTTGTTTGTGAATATTAAAGTTAATAAGAGGGTACCTGTTTTGCAGATATAACTTTATTTCATTTGTTTGTACCGAATGTTTTGGGCGACTAACATATTTCTTCGGGCAACTAGATTGTGAAGCTTTGTTGCCCGAAGGGCATCTAACTTAAGAAGTTAATATCGACCCCTGCAAGGGCCTTGAACTTTCAAATTATAAAAAGGACAAAAAATGAGAAATCCTCTACCTTTCTAAAATCCTTAGAAACTTTAAGTGTAAACTTTGTCGATACGTACATCGACGGTGTTCCCTGGCATGGTAATTTGTAGCTGTTGTAGTTTAATAATTATGAACGGTAAGCAGCTGCTACAAATCGCCAGGGAAGATTGCTTTCCCACATTGCGTTGATTAATCCTACACTTGAATCATTTCAGAATGTATATATAATGTATTGAAGAGCTTTACTCACCTTTTAAATGACTATTTGTTGCCGCGTTCTCTCTCGATCTCTGAGCAATAACTGTAGACTGTAATATGATCCTGAGGTGTTCCTATACATGAAGTGTCTACCATAGAACTAGGACTCAGTCTGCCTCGGACAATGCCAGAATAACATAGGCACGTATAACATACATGAACTTTACGGAAATTTTCCTTTATCCTTGTTAGAAGGAACACGTATTGAGAACAGTGGTCAGTCAGATGTCTTCTCAGCTTTAAAATTTGTTGTCCTTCAGTGTACAGTAGCCTGCATAGCAGATGTCGAACGGGGAAGGGGAACTGGCAGGAAGGGAAAAAAAGGGGACGCTAGTTTTAGCCTGCGTGGCGGGCTGTTAAAAGGGAAGGGAAAAGGGTTTTGTATGAGCGTTTTAACGCCCTGTCTCCTTTTCATTTCGCAAATTACAGATTTTCATTTTTTTCCGTTCCATCTCGTTTCGCAAAGTACAGTAAGCCTACGAATTATACGTTTTCTTCGCTCTAAATCACATCTGTTCCAAATTACGTCTTTTCTCTTTTAAATCGCACCATTTTCGCTCTATATTGCATAATTTCTGTTTCGAATACAAAATGAGATGTAAAAGCCTTTTCATTTCTACTTTTCTACAAACTGGCTACTTGGTCAAATAAATATTGGTACTGACTGAATTCGGCGACTTGAAAATGGCTCGTCCGATTTTAAAATCACGCTTATAATTTCAAACCACTCAGTTCAATTACCATGATAAATTGCATGTAAAATTTTCGGGAAAATAATACTGAAGCCCCTTTAAATTCTAAAAGGCTCAAGTTGCCCTAGGATGACCAAACAGGGACTAATTAGAATGCATTTCTCAAGATCAAAAAGTACTCTTTATAGCCTAAAAACCAATTTCAATGCATATAGGAGGAAACCGTAGTCGGGTGCCCCTACTACTTAAGAATGCTCACAAAAACCTGAATCTGAAAAGAATGTAGAAATATGCCCTTGAAGTCCAAAGGATGGTTAAGATCAATTTTCTCTTAACAATGCAATACATAATTGAGAGAAAAGGTTATAAAAATTTAAAAAATGATCACCTAAGGAAAAATGAAAATTTTATCAAATTCTTTAAATTGAGATTCTTCACAAAAATGGATCATCACACCATTATTTTGAAGATGTTTGGGCTGAAAGGGTTAATGATGACGTCATTAGTCACGTGGTACAAAGCAGTCTTGATGAAGCTAAAGACGCGCACTCCAATGGGACAAAACAACGAGGAGCTCACGTCTAACCTTGAACCCAGATCTGGGTACGAGATTGGCTCAAATCATTTCACCGATCGCTCATTGTAGGAGTGCGTTTCTTGCGTCCCTTGCCATGTATTAAACTGACCACCTAATAGGGCCTATCAGTCGTGTTAAGTTTTTGACGTTGAGGAGGGTAGAATTCGAAACTACAGTCAACTCTCTAATAGTGACCACTTCCCGTAAGCAACCACCACCCACTAAGCGACCACTTTGTACTGATACTCGTTTTGTTTCGCAGCATAATACCTCTTCAAAAACTCTCTTGTAAGCGACCACTACTCAAATTTCTTAAACTACCGCGATCACTTTTTGGCCAGAAGATATTCCGTTTTGATTTCTGTTCCCTGTAAGCGACCAACCAGCATAATCACGTATGATTGTAACAAAACTATTACTCGAATGTCACAAAAATTCAGTTTTTTGAAGCGCCTTGAACAAGCGTGCTGACAGATTTTAGCAGTTGACTCACAATTAAAAACAACCTCGTTACGAGGTTGAATTAAAAAGATGGCTCTAGTCAATCTGTGAGTAAACACTGATGCAAACTGTTCAGCGCTTTTCAACGTGAAACCTCATTAAATGCTAGATTGTCTATTTGACTAACTTCAGCTTGTAATGTAAGAACTTTATGTAATTACGTTAATCAGGCCAGTTTGAGTTAATTTTCTTGATTTTTTCCGTAGACGACCACCGCCCGTAATCGACCACTTTATTGTGCAGCAAGGGACTGGGTGATCGCTTACGAGAGAGTTCAGAGTATCTCGAAAGGATCCCCCCTCCCCTCCCCCCCAAAAAATTTGTTTTGAATCGAGAAATGCCTAGTTAGAAACGAAAGTAATACAAATTACAGCCCGAGTTCTATATAAATACCTTTGACCAACCATTTTCCAACTTCCAACTTCTACTTAAATTCGCAAATAAATTAAAGAATATATTGGACTGGCCTACCCGTAACATGCTTAAATAGGGTGACCCTATTCGTTAGAATGGCGGAATGACGGAATATTCTAAAACACGGAATATACGGAATATTCTAAGACGCGGAATTTACAGGATATTCTTAAACAGAACACGAAATATTTTATACGGAATATTCTAAAAGGCAAAATGAGAGAAAATTCTCTTAAAAAGGATATCAGTCGACTCCCACAACTCGAGCCCTCGCGATTGACTCGAACCTCATGCTATTAAACAGGGGCACCCAACGTCAATTTTCGGAAAATATCCGGTTCGGAAGACGATTTGCGATCTAGAATTTTCGGAACATTTGTTGTAAAATTTCTTACTTGCCTGCCTCTCCTTAGCCTGAACTTCATCCGATCGCTTCGAGTCGTTTTCTCCTCTTACCAACGTCGTTACTGAGGGAGTAATAACGACTCGAAGTAATCGGATGAAATTCAGGCTAGCCGCTGCTAGGATTTTCGAACATCTAAAAAATGGTATCATTGCCAATTTTTCACGGATTTTTACCCTAAAAAGGTCACCTACAATTTTCGGGAGCTTTTTTTCTGGCTGAAATTTTCGAAAACGTAAGTTTTGATCCGTATAATTTTCGGATCACTAGAATTTCACTAGGAAATCGGAACAGATGAAAATTTTTTAGGGGATAAAAATATGCCTATACCTAACGTTTAAATACTAAAATACGTTTAACAATGCTATGTTTAAGTAGTTTTGAACTATATTCTCATTGGGTGCCCCTGATTAAACTCGAAGTAATACTAATTTTTGTTTCTCTTCAGAGCATTTTTATGTGATTTTACCCTCAATGACTCGAACCATGTTTTAAGCGTGTGACAAGTAAAAAACAGACTTAATCATGGTTTTGGAGGCCATGTTGACGGATTGGCAGCCGCGTGAAAATGTACAGTGGACTGTGTAAAAGGTTTTTCTTCCTGCCGACTTAAATTCCCGGGGAAAATTGCAGACACATGTCTGGAGAATATAACGCAAGCGACCGGACAAATTTAGCAGGGGCACCCAATGACAATTTTCGGAAAAATATCTGTTCGGAAGACGATTTGAGATCTAGAATTTTCGGAACATTTGTTGTAAAATTTCTTTCTTGCCTGCCTCTCCTAGGATTTTCGAACATCGAAAAAATGGTATAATTGCCTATTTTTAACGGATTTTTACCCTAAAAAGGTCACCTAGAATTTTCGGAAGCCTTCTTTCTGGCTGAAAGTTTCGAAAAGGTAAGTTTTGATCCCTATCATTTTCGGATCACTAGTCTTTCATTTAGGAAAGCCGAACAGATGAAAAATTGTTAGGGGATAAAGATGTACCTTTATCTACAGTTTAACTACTAAAATACGTTTAACAATGCTATGTTTAAGTGGTTTTGAACTATATTCTCGTTGGGTGCCCCTGATTTAGGCACAGGTGTGGCCTCAATTAATTGTTAGTACAGTCCTTTGCTGTGAAGCTTAATTTTACAATTTCTTTTTTTTTTCCGAACAGCCGCTTTACGAAAATTATCCAACATTAGATTCCCATAAAAACAATGTAATTTATCAAGCGGTTGCCTTCCCTTCAAGATGGCTTCCGAAACCATGATAAGGTGTATAGTGTACGGAAGTACCAAAATTGAATTTTTAATTCAAACAACCGTGTATTATTTGCCTCTAAAGTTTTGTTGTTTCATTCCTTCAATTTCAATTTTAGCCTTGTTTTAATAGCAGTAAATAAACCAACCGGCATAGTGGTTGCTCCTTCAAATTGGCGCCAAAAAAACGCCCGGCAGAGACGCGCGCATGCTCTCCTGTTTAATTTATTTCTTTACGCCATTTATAGTTATATTAAATTCAGGATAATTATGTCATTCTGCAAGCCATGCCACATGCCATTCCGCAAACTCATTCCGCCTTTTACCCTCACCGCAACCTACACGCGATTCCGACGTCAAAACACTACAGCACTCGCCCGCTCCCCAGCCAATAACGGTGGAAAAAAACAGTTTTTTCCACGAACATGACAAACACCCTCTACACTTTCAAAATGGCGATCGGAAAACCCGGAAACGTAAATAATGGCATGTAAAGTTAATCACGTGGTTATCTCTGACCGTTACCCTCGTCTCTTATACCATTTCTTATCAATAAACCTTTTTAGGTTTTGCTTGTATGTTTTGTTTTTCCATTTCAGGCCATGTGATTTTCCCCAAGAGAACTGTTTCTTTATCCACGTATGCGTAAGTATTTATAATTTATGACTACTAATAGTTCACACTACAGCTGCCCCCGTTCTGTATATTGTGGGTCAATAGTATTCTTGCTGGTTGTGTAGCTCTTTGAAATATACCGATTCATAAGGAAGATTTTCACACATATTCCATACAATAGGTGAGATAAATACAGGAAACGCAAGGGTCCATGCACAGTTTCAGCTCGATTTACACAGCTTTGATCAAAACATTCTCAGTTTCGAGAATAGTTTATCCTAAACCATAAGAAAAGATTTAATTAGAAGTTGAATTTTTCGCTATTTCTCTTCCCCTTTTTACATTCAGTTCATTTTATTTGCTGGAAAGTAAATCTTAGAAATTAAAAGGACGTTTGATCGATTCACGCTAGCGCATTCTAGTCTTATTTGAAACTTTATAACAGAAGGACATCTGTGAGCAGAGAATAAGTCAGCACAGAATTTGATTGTCGGCGAATTTCTGTAAATGTCCATCACAGTCTACTTGTGATAAGCTAACCCTTGTTCACTCGTCTTGCTTGTTTGAAACAGAGTCTTATTCCGGTCAAAGAGAGAGGAAGAGTGTCCGGCAAGGTTTCCAATATAAATCAAAGATTTGTGAACTCGTGTCTGGCAAACTCTCCAAGTGTTTATATATACACAGTTAAAAACACCTTGTAACCTCCCCTGCGCTTAACGAGTGTCTTTTGGCCCATAAATTTCAAAACAACTGCTCCACAGAATGTCACTGCGTAACGCAAAAGAGTATCGAAGTGTGACTTCACAATAAATGTCACAAAATCTACCTGAGCGGTCCCTTCGGGATTTTCTGTCTTTACGTAATCCTAACCATTTCGTACCTGCGGGCGCAAACAATAGAAACGTCATCATTACCTACCGATTCCTCGCGGCCCCAGTTCGAGCAAATCGAGATTTTTTCTAGTATACTGACTGTATATTTGAACTGTAAGTACTATCCTTAATATACGCGCGAGTTACTAGGGTGCCTCCTCGAGATTTCCCCTCTGGGCGAAATCCCTGCGGGGGCAAAAAGACAAAAGACAAATTCCTAATTGTCGATAAGTGAATTCACATGACACGAACGTCACGTAACCTAACACGAAACAAAAGGTTTACGTGCGTTAAAGAACATTTTGTGTAACTCAGTCATATTTGACAACAACTCTGATCTACACACCTACCAGTCTTTTGACGTGTTACAGTCGACTCCCGTTACTGCGGACAACCTTGGGGGGAAGATTTAGAGCCCGTAATAGTGGGGTACGAGAGAAAAAAAAATGTTCTCTCTAATTTAAATTTGTGAAATAATATGTAAAAGTCCCAGAAGCATTGTACTTTCAACAGTTCTTTACTTCTTTTAACTATGGATCATAAAAGATTAAAGATAACATTGTAACTTAATAGATGTAAATATGCTGTATTATTACTTCCAAGGTCATAAGAAAGGGAAACCAAACGGAAACTCCAGTAACGTGGATGGCTAAAATGTTAACTTGCTGTCAAACATAAGGTTTTTTATTGTTCTTGGCAGCTCTTTTATCGCAGAAATGCTGCACAGAATACTCATAACAGAAACCTGTCTAACGACTTTTACAGTAGAGTGTTAAAATAACTCAAAATGTTCATAAGCTCTAATGGCAATGTCTTTTCTCCCTAAAATGCTGTACAGCAGTCAGTTGTTTACTCTTTAACAAAGAAGCGGTCGATGGTACTTTGTGTCATTTTTTCTTTACTGTAACGTCCCTTTATTCTTCACATTATGTGAGTCAGGATTTTTGACGAAGTACTTAAGTGCCCGCTATAGCGAGAGAAAAAACAAGTAAAATGTAGCGCTTGGCGGCAGGAAAGTGTCCAGATTCCCGTAATACTAGGAATAGCGGGAGTTTATATCATTCATTTCTTTATGCGTTTCGCCTGGGGGCTGGTTCCTTGATTCAGGGTGCAACGAAAGTTAGTTTACAGTCTACCATTCGGGCAAGTTGTAGCTAGCATGTGCTAGCCCACAAGTCATTTCAACTAGGCTCCAAAACCCTTTATGATTAGCAGAATTGATTGCATTCCTTCTGTAATTTGAATTTCCCCCCCAAAACAGCACTTGCCCATTGGGCAAGTTAAGAACAAAAATCACTAGCCCGATAGGAAAATCCACTAGACCCGGGCTAACAGACATGGCTTTCTTTGCACCCTGCTTGATTTTATTTAAATTCAGTATTTCTCACTCGTTAGGAAAGGTGATGGACTGGCAATACTCTGGTCGATAAAACTGGACAGTTAAAAATCTATATTACTGACTGGGCCATAGATGTTTAAATCCATTGGATAAACCCCTTTCCAGGGAATAACACAAACTAACTAAATAGTTATTTCCATTTTTACTTTTCCTATGGAAAGTGATTCATATGATGGATAGCCTAATCCAATGTTCAAACAACTGGTGCCTGTACAATTAATATTGCAAGTATAACAGGAATACCTAAGAGGTTGTTTACATGACACTGGGGGCAACTTTCACGCCGGAGTGAGTTCACTCCGGTTCCCCCTGATGGCTCTGCATTTGTTTACATAATACCAACACAAAATGTCATGCCGGCGTGAGTCACCCAGGCGCGAGTTCACTCTGGTTATTGTACCGGGGTGAGAAATTCACTCCGGTTCGAAATCTCACACGTTTCGGTGTGAAATCGGTCTGCTGGTAGACTGGAACAGGTAGCACATGCGGTATGTTTGCGATTTTGAATCACACATTTGTATTTTATCAACATGACGTGTACCTTCAAATAGCGAGATATGAATTAAGCCAGTCATCATGTAAACGCGATACGAAATCAAACAGTCATCCCGGTATGAAATTCGCGCCAGTGCGAGTTTTCTCATGTAAACACCCCTTAAGAATTGGTGTCCACCTTCAAAATCGCGAAGTCTACAGTTGAACCTCTCCACAACAGCCACATTGGAGACAGAAGAAAATGGCCGTAGTAGAAAGGTTCTTTAGGAACCACCTGAAGGTATATATCTCATATGATTTTCATAATGTTGAAGAAGAAGAGATTCATTACCCATCTCCTCTTGACAAATCCAACAGGTATGTCTCTCAATGATGTCTGATCGCTGGTCTTCTATCCTATTGTCTTCAGTCTCTCTCTGTGTAGGTGTCGCGTTTATAACTCTAATCCTCACATTACTTACTGCCCTCTTACTCTTGCAAGGCAAACCTTTAGAAACAATTTCGTTACTATTACATTTATGCGAGTGTTTTGTACTGTGGACTTTCTCGTGACTATTAAGGCTCTGGGATTGAAAAAACAGCTTTTCCCCGGTGTGAATTCTTTCATGACTCCTCAGGTTTCCTGCTTGGCTAAAACACTTGCCACACTGCTTACATTTGTAAGGCTTTTCCCCAGTGTGAACTCTTTCATGCGTCTTTAGGGGTCCTGCTTCACTAAAACACTTGCCACACTGTTTACATTCGTAAGGCTTTTCCCCAGTGTGAACTCTTTCATGACTCCTTAGCTCTCCTGATTGGCTAAAACACTTGCCACACTGTTTACATTCATAAGGCTTTTCCCCAGTGTGAACTCTTTCATGTCTCCTTAGGTGTCCTGCTACACTAAAACACTTGCCACAATGTTTACATTCATAAGGCTTTTCCCCAGTGTGAACTCTTTCATGACTCCTTAGCTCTCCTGATCGGCTAAAACACTTGCCACAATGTTTACATTCATAAGGCTTTTCCCCAGTGTGAACTCTTTCATGACTCCTTAGGACTCCTGATCGGCTAAAACACTTGCCACAATGTTTACATTCATAAGGCTTTTCTCCAGTGTGAACTCTTTCATGGCTCCTTAGGTTTCCTACTAAACTAAAACACTTGCCACACTGTTTACATTCATAAGGCTTTTCCCCAGTGTGAACTCTGTCATGACTCCTTAGTTCTCCTGATCGGCTAAAACACTTGCCACACTGTTTACATTCATAAGGCTTTTCCCCAGTGTGAACTCTTTCATGAGTCCTTAGGTTTCCTACTACACTAAAACACTTGCCACACTGTTTACATTCGTAAGGCTTTTCCCCAGTGTGAACTCTTTCATGAGTCCTTAGGTTTCCTGCTACACTAAAACACTTGCCACACTGTTTACATTCGTAGGGCTTTTCCCCAGTGTGAACTCTTTCATGACTGCTTAGCTCTCCTGATCGGCTAAAACACTTGCCACAATGTTTACATTCATAACACTTTTCCCCAGTGTGAACTCTTGCATGAATCCTTAGGTCTCCTGCTATACTAAAACACTTTCCACACTTCTTGCACTGTAAAGACATGCAGCAGAGCTTCTTGTTTATACCTTTTCGACACAACATAAAAAAACATCATTATTACCTTATGAATAACTCACCAAACAATAACTTACTCATTAAACCAGTATAAATAAATAAAAAAATTACAGAGGCAATGCCAGGAGCAAAATATACACTGTAGAAAAGAAAGAACCCAAAATAAACTATCTATTCTACAATGTTCTTGTTGATTTAAATGTTCTTTATGAGTACAATGAAGTGTTTCCTTAATAGAAGTGGTCCACCACAAGGAGAGAGCTAAGCCTGTGATCTTCTGGACAAGTCGTCTATATATCCAATCAACCTCATTTCTTTCTAAAAAGTCCCCGGTTTTTCCCTGTGGTGCAAGGTTGTTGTAAACCAAACCTCCCTCATTTCCCCCAACTCTGGGGTAAAGTAATCTTTCAAAGCCCCCATACATCGCAAGTAATTTGTATTTGCCCACGGTGTCCCTCAGGGGAGCTTCCATTTGTGCTGTCTCATGGTTTTGAAGTTATTAACATTTTTTGTAAAAATGCGGTTTTAAGCAAATGCCGATACCTCAAACGTTTTGATACCTATAAGAAAATAAGTAACATTTTCTTAAAGTTCGACCATTCTTTACTAAGGATGCCAAAAATCATAGAAATTGGTTAAATCTCTCTAGACGAAAACGCGATTCAAAAACGTAACCAACGTGCATATAAATAGGTGCCGGCCACCTTAATAGAGTAACTGACCGAATCAAAAAGAGGGCTGTCAGCCCCCCTTCTCTTTTGAGGGAAGTGTAGGGGCAGACTCCCCCACAATATTTTTATATCTTTGGATGCCACAAAATGCAATTGTCAGTGTTCCAGGCACTAAATTTAGTAAAAGAAAGATATAGTCATATTTTTATAAAGTTTTTTATTTTCGATGCTGATCAATAATGAGTTTAAATAATCGTAAAAAGTATCTTTTTTAGTTTTATGACTGCTTTAAAGTTTTGTCAGAATCATTCTTCTAATACTTCATTCTCATTTAAACCCCTGCCAAGCTCTGAACCTTAAATCTTCTGATAGTTTTTGTCTCATTACTAAAACCCCTATAAGTTAAGAACCACCTCTTCTAATAGTAATTGTCTCAAAACCAGTGGCCTATAAGAAGAAATGAACGGACCAGAAGAAAATAAGCCAAGATGCTGTGGAAGTCTTAAATGAATTCAAATGTTTAGTTTAAAACTATCTTTTCAATAAGGCTTTTATTTATGATCATCTAAGCAACAAATTCCCCACATTTTTATTTGTTTTCTTCATGTCTTTATTCATTTTTAAAGAATTTTGTAAATTTCAATGCATGGATCACTTTCTTTTTTAAATTAACATCAAGTTCCCTTACATTTATGTCAAAACAATTGTCAAAAGCAAGTTGAATTTTCATTGTTTTGGTAAAAATTTCATGTCTAGTGTACATGCACATATTTTTTAACATTAACTCCTAGACGCTACAATCGACGACAAAATGGGTTGAGACACTTTGCGCAAAACTGGTTTCTTTTTACGTTTTATTAATTTTAAAAGGAGGAAATATAGCAGTCCTCCCCCATCCCCTCTGTGCAATGTTGTGCCCATGTTCTAGCTACCTATAGAAAACAACAAACACCCCAACTTTGACTGGAGGGGAACAAGGGAGGGGTGCGCATTTTTTGGTTCTCTGAAGTTACCCTATTTGAGTACATTGTCTCAACAATTTTGCTGCCACTTGTAGTATAGTTTGAACTGTTCTAGGAGTATATTGATTAAAAGATTAAAGGATCAAGAAAGACTGGTGAAAAGCTTTGCATCCCATACTTAAAGCACATGTCTGGCTTGGAAAATCTTGTGGCTTAAGACTTAATCCATTTTCACTGTACACAATTTTAAAAACCAGACACAAGATAGCAGTGGGGAAGGACTAGTAGCAAACAGAAGAACCTTACAAGCTATTCCACCCAATTAAATAATAAGAAAGAAAAAGAAATTGTCAGAAAAAGTAACACAATCTTAACTGTTAATCATGACTGAAAACTGCACCATGATATCATTCCAAAGTAACCTGTGGGCAATAAAGAACAAGGCCATTTATCCGCTATGTGTACGGTGTTGCTTCCCAAAAGCACTACATAGGCCAAGTGCACTGTTTTGGTGCACTGTGCACCGCGATGCACTGGTGCACCAAATTCAATACACTAGTGCACTTATTCTCTGCAGTCACTAGAACGTTAGTCACATCATGTTTTGTTTTTAAATTTTGGACCATGTTGTTTCTGATTAAAATCAGCTTCCTTATTTTGTTTCATCTCCTTTGAAGAACCATCTCTCTCATTTCCAAAAGGTGGAACAGGATTTCTGAAGTTCCGTCGATTGTGAGAAAGGCTCCCAGTGAAAAATTTGAGTCAATTCGATTGCATGAATGTCTTGCCCTCACACAGCTGAAGAATGTAATGAGAAGAGTTACCTGGGTTCACACAGCAGACATCAAATTACTTGATTTAGTGAAAAAAGTTACAGTATATCTTGGGAATATGTCAATAACCATGACAGGAGAAACCACTGGAGAAGTTTGCGAATTCTTAACATTGCAAAGCTCAGTGAAAACTAGAACTAACAGCTGAATTTTAACGTCATGGCAACATTCGCAAATCTTCGTGAGTTCAACGTTTCTGAATCCAGAATTAATGATAACCACCTCGTGGGAGTTTTGAGAATCTGCAAAACACTCCCCATATTAAATGTTTCAGGCTGCATCGGTATCACTGATTTCGGTTTCAAAAAAGCCTTCCTAAATGAAGGGTTATTTTCATCAACATTTCCAATTGTACACTTTACATGTAACAGAGCAGTTGATAAACCACATCATTGAAGCCTGGACACTAATGCATCGAAACAGTGCACTGTTAACAGTATTTTAAAGTGCACCAGGTGCACTTGTTTTTAGTATTATGCACTGAATTACTAATAACATTGCACTTTGGTTTACCAAAAAAGTGCACTTTGGTGCACTAATGCACCGAGCCCAGTGCACTATGAGTGCACTGTATTACTTCTTGGGATGGCCGCCTTGGACATGCCATTCAGGTAGAGTAAAAAACACTCACTTTGTACGGTGCTTATACAAAAATATTCTTTCGTTATTGTGCATCTTGAAAAGACATTTTCTTGCTACAGGTAAAGAGTATCCAGCGCAAAGGATTTTGTAGCAAGCATTCGTTTTTGTGTTTGCCATCTTGGACAATGGTAAGTTATCATTTTTCATGCTGATAACATGTCTAAAACTCTTGTAAGCTGCTTGAAAAAATGGAAAACAAGTGTTTGTTTCATGTGCAAGTCATACTGGGTAAAAAACCGGACAATGTTTGGCTATAAGTTGCTCGGAGCACAACATTTTATATTTCGGCGTGGGTTAATGTAACGTTTGAGAGGTCAACACACAAGTGAATTTCCGTTATAATTTTGCAATTATGCCATTCCTACCTCCATAAATGCCACTAAGGTTTAGTAAACATTACAATATTATACTAGTGTTGTAATTTCATAACAATTCATAAAGATGTAAAAAGTATCCTGATTTAGTCAAACTTTGGGGTGTAAGCGAACACCGTACACAGAACCTATCTTATTGCTATAAAAATCTCTGCAATGTTTGTTGAAGCAAGACAGGCTCAGGTCTTCAGTTCTTAGGACAGGTTCTTGGATAAGTTATAAATAAATAAGGAAATATTCTGATTGAAAAGTTTTCCTTAAACAGTTGTTTTACTACTTTACTAGTTTATTACTTGAGAATGACCTGAGTCTCTTATCAGAGCAGAACTGAAAATAGGAGTTGAACAAGCAATTAACTTGACCACACTTGAGTATGTAAAATGTTACATAAAATGTTTTCAGTAAACCAGTGGAAAAAGATCCAATCATAAGAGCCAATTGTTGTTGCTTAGCTTGGGAAGGAAAGTCCATGACACTCATTGTTGGACCCCTCCGCTATTCAAAACCTTGTATGCTGTCTTTTTTTTTCCTGAAAAAATGCTTTTTTTCAAAACTGCCAGTGTCCAGGGCACTTATCTTCAGAATAGCCAGTGGTCAAAGGGTTCAGTTACATGTAGGGAAACTATATTATTTTGTTAGACAAGAAAGAGTGATACCTTTTTATGCATTTAGTTACACTTAAATTGGATTGAATTACTTTGACAAATTTAATCAATAAAGCCTACATACATGTATTTAGTAAAATCCAACTAGTGGTCTATTATCAATGCTGCATTCTGATTGGTTGAGCTACTACTAGGCTATATGTTATAGCCCACTAGTAGCGAAAAGCGCGGCCTTTTGGCAGCAAAAAAGGATTAAAGTCTAGCTTTAAATTAACTAGCTAAATTTTTTTATTCTTGATATTTTTGACCAACTAGTTGGATTTTACTAAAACTATTATTCCTCTCACCCTCATGGCCTCAGAGTCAATAGCCCATTCAGCCTTCGGCATGGTGCAAAGAAAGGCAGTTTTACAGCCGGCCATTCAGGCAAGCTGTAGTTAGCATGTACTAGCCCACAACTCATTTCAACTAACCCCAAAACCCTTTTTGATTAGCAGGATTGATTACAATCGTTCTGTAATTTGAATTTCAAAAAAAACAAACACTTGCCCGTCGGGCAAGTTAAGAACAAAAATCACTAGCCCAACAGTAAAATCCACTAGCCCCGGGCTATCGGACACGACTTTCTTTGCACGCTGCTTCGGTCTCATGGGCTATTGCATCAGATCCCACTTGGGCTCAAGGAATAATTGTTAAATAGTTTCTTATACAAAAAAATAACATAATCATGTGCTAATGTACGATGAGTGTGCAAAAAATACGGTCAAACTTGGGTGGCCAGTAAACCACAGGGTAATGCAACACCACCGATCATATAAAACCTTGAACCAGGGCTTGATATCAATGGCTGCCTACTTTCCCGGGGCAACTAAAAATTTTATACAGACAAGTAAGTCTAGGATCCTAGTTGCACGATTGGGCAACTGAAATTTCTGTGAAAGCTGTAGGTTAACATGACTCAGTATTTTTGTATCAAGTCTATCTTTTGAACTATCAAAACTGTTTTATAAATGTGAAGGTTTCTATTTACATGCATAAGTGTGTGAATGAGTAAATTAAAAAGAGATTAAAATATGATCTTGAATAGCCGCCGCAAATCATTTTCAAAAACTGGAATGTTTTTCAAGCCTCTCACAAATGTTAACACAAAACATACAGCAAAAAATAGGTGTAGATAATGCTGAATAAATGAGTGTACCGTTCATGTTTATAGCAGGATAGAAAGCACTACAAATTTGCAAAAGTAATGTTATTTGTGATTTGACACCTCTTGCTTTTCTACGGATCTCGACTTTTTATCAGTTTTTTTCTTCACGCAATAGCAACCTAACGTTTCTAATACTGGGGAAAATGTCACGATTTTGATATCAAAGGTTTTTTTCAAAGACTATTAAATTCATTCAATGGTGTTTTCAGATGAGAAACTTCAACTGCAGTGCAGGGGAAGTCACAGAAGGATTCAAGACAAGTGCTTGTTTGTTTACCTTTTGTTGACAGAAATACTATTTTGCCTATAGCCGACGATGTTTTCATTTTAAAAGTGCCAAATAAACAGGGAATTTTGCTGTTTGTTCACCAAATGTTAACCTGAGAATCATAAGTTTTAGGCACCTGTTCGGGCTCAGTGTTTGAAATTTTGCTTGTCTGAGGATAAATCGTGCTTAGGCGCCTTTGGCCACCGAGCGCTTGTTAGGCAGCAGCCTTGTGAGCTCAAACCTATTTCAATTTGGCACATAAAATTAATGTGAACAAATTTTTGTTTAGAATATTATCCTCATTTATCCTCTGATAACTTTGTTTGTCAATATTAAGGAAAGTTAATAAGAAGGTACCCGTTTTGCAGATATAACTTTATTGAATTTGTTTGTACCAAATGTTTTGGGCAATTAACATTTTACTTCGGGCAACTAGATTGTGAGGCTTTGTTGCCCGAAGGCATCCAACTTAAGAAGTTGATGTCGACCCTTGCAAGGGCCTTGAACTTTCAAATTATAAAAAGGACAAAAAATGAGAAATCCTCAACATTTCTAAAATCCCTAGAATCTTTAAGTGTAAACTTTGTCGATATGTACATCGACGGTTTTCCCTGGCATGGTAATTTGTAGCCGCTGTAGTTTAATAATTATGAACAGTAAGCAGCTGCTACGAATCGCCAGGGAAGATTGCTTTCCCATATTTTATGTTGCGTTGATTAATCCTACACTTGAATCATTTCAGAATGTATATGTAATGTATTGAAGAGCTTTACTTACCTTTTAAATGAATATTTGTTGTCGCGTTCTCTCTCTATCTCTGATCAATAACTGTAGACTGTAGAAGGAATAATATGATCCTGATGTGTTCCTATACATGAAGTGTCTACTATAGAACTAGTACTCAGTCTGCCTCGGACAATGCCAGAATAACATAGGCACGTATAACATGCATGAACTTTACGGAAAATTTGCGTTATCCTTATTAGAAGGAACACGTATTGACAACAGTGGTCAGTCAGGTATCTTCACAGCTTTAAAATTTGTTGTCCTTCAGTGTACTGTAGCCTGCATAGCAGATGTCGAACGGGGAAGGGGGATTGGCAGGAAGGGAAAAAAAGGGACGCTAGTTTTACCCTGCGTGTCGGCTGTTCAAGGGGAAGGGAAAAGGGTTCTGTATGAGCGTTTTAACGCCCTGTCTCCTTTTCATTTCCCAAATTATAGTAGTTGCTAAAAAATATATCTACGTGTCCCAACTGTTTATCAGTAGGATGCCTAAAATACCTGCAATTCCACAATTGGTTTCGGCTCCATTAAATCCTATACCATGTGCAGAACATTTTAGGAGGAGCCACCCACCGTGTGAGCACAGTCGCGGACGTTATTAAACGAATTAAATGTACACGCAACTTAAATAAATAAATAATTGGCCGCAATAGCGGTGTACGAGAGAAAAAAAAATTTTCTCTTTAAACTTGTGAAATAATATGTAAGTCCCAGAAGCACTGTAGTTTCAACAATTCTTTACTTCTTTTAACTATGGATCATAAAAGATTAAAGATAAAATTGTAAATTAATAGATCTAAATATGCTGTATTATCACTTCCAAGCTCCAACAATGACAAGGGATACATAAGAAAGGGCTTGAAAAACCAAACGGAAAGTTCAGTAACGTGGATGGCTAAAATGTTAACTTGCTGTCAAACAATGTTTTTTATTGTTCTTGGCAGCTCTTTTATCGCAGAAATGCTGCACAGAATATTCATAACAGAAATCTGTCTAACGAGTTTTATATACAGTAGAATGCTAAAATAACGCAAAATGTTTGTAAACTCTAATGGCAATGTAATGCTGTACATCATTCAATTGTTTACTCTTTTACAAAGAAGCGGTCGATAGTACTTTGTCTCATCTTTTTCTTTACTGTAACGCCGCTTTATTCTTTATCTTATGAGAGTCAGCATTTGTGACGAAGTACTCAAAGTGTCCGCTATACCGAGAGAAAAAAACAAGTAAAATGTAGCGCTTGGGGGCAGGAAAGTGTCTGCATTTCCGTAACAGCGGGAGTTCATATCAGTCATTTCTTTATGCGTTTCGCCGGGGGGCTTGTTCCTGTCCGCAGTAGCGGAGTGTCCGTAATAGCGAGGTGTCCGCAAGGCGAGACTCGTCTGTAAATGGTTTATCACCTTTACGAAAGAAAAGAAAGAGGGCCCCTACTTCCTGACATCATAAGACAAAGTCGTAGCAAGTAAACCTACCTTAACCACTTGAGATCTTAAACCAAATGCGATATTCCGAGCCGTGTAAGAAACGACAACTCCTTAGAACAAGAAGACGCCCGAAGGCGTTTACACGGGATGTGTCGGTGTAAGAAAGAATTACCGGTATGTTGAATGGCAATGGGAAGTTGAGTGCTGTATGCAACAAATGTGTGCAGGAGAGACGGAGATGTTCTGTTAAGGACTAATATATTAGAAGGTGTGTTACACACAGGGTTCCTTTGCTACTCAAAACAAAACTTACATCAATATTACCACCATATGTGTTGGGAGTATGCGGTAGTTCACTGAAATTTGCATTCCCTTTACAAATGTCCTCAAAATATGCACTTCCACATATAACAATAGCAGGCAATGTATCATGTTTCCAATATCTACAGGACTGCAAGGCTGTGCTCTAGGGAACATTTCCGGGAGCCCTTCTGGTTCCCCAAGCATTTTAGCTGGGGTGCACAGGCCTGAAAGATCATTTTAGCTGGGGTGCCTGTGCCTTCAAGTTGGTCGCCCAAATTAATAAATCAGTGAGCTTTCAGTTAGTTATTAAAAATTAAACAAGTTATTTTCTTAGGAAGAGTAGCAGAATTTTTTGAATATTCTTTTTCACAAAAAATCACATCCCTTTGACCTCCAGAGCGTGCGAAAAAAACCCCACATGTTGTCATATGAAAGTAAGTTTTCGAGCCATATGAGCAACATGGGCAACGCCGCCAAATATTTCATGTTTTTTACATGGAAAAGTAAGATTCTGGTCTGTTTATGTTTTTTTCATTTAAAAAATATGTGGGTCAAAAGGGCACTATTCTTTTAACCAATCATTTTGATTTAGGTTGAAAAGAAAATTCGCTTATTAAGGTTGACTGAGATCCCGTGGAGCTTTCCAGCAAGACTGTTCAACCTCGTTTCCAGGGTTCTCTTCTACCCGCCCCCTGGAAGACTGTTATGATTCCAACGAAACTGCGGCTGCTCCCCAGGGGGTTACTTGGGGAGTTTGACTGATAGTCGCGGGTCGCGGGTCGCGGGTCCAAAGTCGCGGTCGCGGGTCCAATGTCGCGGTCGCGGATCCAATGTCGCGGTCGCGGGTCCAAAGTCGTGGTCGCGGGTCCAATGTCGCGGCAGGGGAAAATGATTTGGGGTTCGAGGTAACAGCCAAGTGAAAACGACTGATATGAACACAATATAAAGGGAAAAAATCTTTTTTATGCACGATACTCTACGGTAGCCAATTTACAGGTTACGGATGTTAGAGTCAACAAAATAATGTCTCAAAAAAAGACCTAAAAGAAAAAGCTGGCCGACTTTTGTGTTCAGCGCAAGTTTATATTTTTTTTCTTTCTATCGGACCCAGTTATGTGTAAATTCAGCTTTGAATATACTTATGCATGACAGTATCTGATAAAAAAGTTACCATAAGTTACCATTGCTTTCTTCTTGTCGATAAATTGCTCACAAATGCTTAGGGGTTAAATTACTGAAAAATATTCGATACACTTCATAGACTACAGATTATAAACGCTACAACAACTTAAAGCCTTTTTTTTAAAAAAGCCAACTAGGGCTCAAAAAGCTACGAGTCTGTCGGTAGAAGAAACGAGAACTCTTATATTTAACAAATGTTTTCGGCAAAACTGAAAGAAAATGTAAATAGGCGCATGAAACTTCATTCAAGCGGTATTCAAGGCATGAATTTAATATGGAAACAAGTAATAATCCACAGAAAGGAGTCTGTTCCTCGAAGCAAGATTTTCGCTTAATGCTTTTATTTTTACAACTGAGACGGCAACCCAGAGTGTTCAATATAACTTCTTGTTCTCTTCACCTAAATGGCAACCAGGACAACCTGACAATAGGAAGCCATTCAATGTGCGTCTCAATCAAATCTTGAAAACATGCATGGTAAATAACTAAGTGAGTAAGTAGGTAAGGAAATAATAACGCCCGATATCATGAAGCTGAAAAAGAAAGAAAACCGGACACTGAAAACGGTAAGTTATCAACTCCACCAGAGCTAAGAAAAGACAATAAATTAGGTAAGTAATTCCAGATTCCAGTTACTGGATTCAAGTCCCGGATTAAAGTCTTTGTCAGTAGAACCAAGAGACTATGATCTATTCTCTCCTGGTAGAACTTGGATTCCGGATTTCAATCGTTAGTGGGAACAAACTCGAGCTCCTTTCTGTGCACAAGAGAGGATAAAGCTCGAGCTTTATCCCCTCTTGCTGTGGATTATTACTTGTTTTTTATTAAATTCATGCCTTGAATACCCGCTTGAATGTACTTTACTGGCACTTCAAGCCCAACGTCTCTCCTCCTCTTTCCAGTTACTTGTGCAAAGAGTTTATTTTGGGAGTTTGCGACTGTTACGCGGGTAATCTTTTAGAGGACGGGTAGCTTGCAAACTAAACTGAACGCAGGGTTGTCGGAACAGCAACAAGAAGATTTATTCCAAAGATGAACGTAGTTTCCACTGAGTAAAACTCCACAACAGCACGTAACTCGTTAAACTTACACGGCCTCCGCCAACTTGAATAAACTTGATAAACTTACACGGCCTCCGCCAACTTGAATAAACACTGCCTTCGTCACACTTGACTAAACACGACCAACGTCAAACTCTCTTCGCTTGTGGAAACTAGTTAAAACTTAACTCGGGCTCGCCTACCTTATATACGTTTACAATAAGATTCTAGAACTTTCCAACTAGTCTAATTATAGAAAGATCACAAAATATACCGCTTTTAGAAACGCTTACACAAGATCCTAAAATAAACAAATTATCATCAGTTATTGAATAGGGCTAATTTGCCAACACTGTTGAATAGACGTCTTCAAGACATATGCGACCTAATGTACAAGGTTAAACACACTAAAATGTGTTCCGAAGCCATCACCAACATTTTTAAACCTCGTGATTCATGCTACAATTTAAGAAATTCAGACTTTCTTTTACCCAGGTTTAACACAGTTTCATTTGGTAAGCATTCCCTTCGATATTTAGGTCCCATTTTATGGAGCAAGCTGGACAAAAATGATAAAACGTGTAAATCATTAAGTGATTTTAGAAACCGAATGCGTAATACGGATCTGACATCTCTTATTGATGATGGATGCAAAGGATGTCTTCTGTGTGATACTTGATGTCTCATCGGAAACAATTTTAACATTTTAGTACTCAGCTTTAGTATTTTAGCTAACAATTTGTAACATATTGTATGGATTTTTTTTATCTACTTAATTATTGTATCCATTATATCTTAACTGTAGGTGTCCCCTATTAGTAGAGGGCCTGCCCCTCGGCTAGTTTTTCTTTCTTGACACATAAATAAAGTTTCTATCTATCTATCTATCTATCTATCACACTAGTCACTCAATACAATTTTTCGTAACAACGACCAGGAATTTTTTCAACAAGCGTTTTCTTTATTTTTGCGGAAAACATTTGTTAAAATTGAAACAGTTCTCGTTTCTTCTACCAACAGACTCGTAGCTTTTCGAGCCCGAGTTAGCCTTTTTTAAAAAAGGTTTTAAGTTGTTGTAACGTTTATAATTTATAGTCTATGAAGTGTGTAACGGCTACCACGCGTTATTCCCGAATATTGATTCGTTATTGATTTAATTTGTATTGTATTACGTTAAACCGCAAGATGACGTTATTCCTTGTCCATTAGGGACGCGATTACTTAAGTTCCGCTCAAACCGCATTTTCGTTAGTTGGCTTTGTTTGGGCAAACGATAAGTCATGTTCGTCGTTAGTACAGTTTGTCCAGTTTATCTTGGAAGTTGTTTGGTCAAGCTCTTACAAGCGGGACTGTTATGTAAGTGTTTAAGTTTCCTTTTTATACCTAACCTTTTCGATAAGACTCCTTTAGCTTACACCAGTTTTTTCATCGCATGTTTTCCTCAACCATGTTACCACGTGGCATAGGTTGGTTGATGTTACTTAAAATGTAATTCACCTTTCACTTGGTTATAAGTACGTTTTAGAGTTTGTTTTTCAGAATCTTTTCAGTAGTTTGTCCCCTTTGTTTTTATATAGTTTCAGTTTTTGTTTGTATTTCGACCTTATGGTTCTACGGATCTTTATAGTTCATCGAACTGTTTTCGCTTTGTTTTTAGATGTATCTTTTTATAATCTCGAATTTTGTACTTGTTAATTCGTTTTCGATTATTTTCTTAAGTCTTGATTCGTTTACCTTCTTCGGCTTAGACTTAGTGTAACTTGCAACTTTGCTTTGGAATGATTGGAATGTAGTTTGTATGTTAGAAATTAGCTTAGCCTTTTTTTGTATTTCATGTTTCAGTTTACGATAAGGACTTGGATCCTATGATCACGTTGAATAAACGATTCAAGACTCCTGTCCGTAAAATATTTCCTTGCTTTATAGTGTGTCGTCGTTTGCGAACTCAAAGTCGTTGTCGTAAATTGCTTCGCTCGTGTTGGCCGCTACAAAGTGTATCGCACATTTTTCAGTGAATGCACCCCTAAGAATTTGTGAGCAATTCATAGACAAGAAGAAAACAATGGTAACTCATGGTAACATTTTTTATCAGATACTGTTATGCATAAGTACATTCAAAGCTGAATTTATACATAACTGAGCCCGATAGAAAGAAAACAAAATGAACTTGCAGCGAACACAAAAGTCGGCCAGCTTTTTCTTTAAGGTCTTTTCTTGAGACATTACTTTGTTGACTGTAACATCCGTAACCTGTAAATTGGTGACCGTAGAGTATCATGCATAAAAACGATTTTTTTTCCCTTTATATTTTTTTCATATCACTCGTTGTCTCTCCGTTACCTCGAACTCCAAATAATTTTCCCCTGCCGCGACATTGGACCCGCGGCCGCGACTTTGGACCCGCGACCGCGACATTGGACCCGCGACCGCGACTTTGGACCCGCGACCCGCGACCCGCGACCCGCGACTATTAGTCAAACTCTTACTTGGGTTAATATTTGCTGGGTATGTGCCGCTGGCCTCTCAGGGCCTCTACCCCATTATAGTCTATTTTCTGGCCAATTGTAGACCCCATATTAGTCACTTTGGGGCAAATATGTAACTTTTGCGATCCCAACATAGTCGCTTTCTAGATATGTATCTACCTTACAATCCTTTAAACCCTGGTCATCAAAAAATGAATTGACCCATTTTTAATAAATTGAATGAAGAACACTTTACTTTTCACCTACAGTACAAATATCCTGGTACGTTTGTTAACTGTAAATATGAACAACTCTCTTACCCCCAAAATCCGAAAATTTGCGACCCCATTCTAGTAATTCTATTGAAAATGCAATCCCGTTATAGTCAATCCAGTCGTGAAAATGCGACCCCATCCAGCGGCACATCCCATTTAGCCTCTTATAAGGAAGTGCTACCTTCCCCCCCCCGGTCGCCCCAACACTACTATCTGTTTTGAATAGTTCATCTTGTTGTAAAGTATTCGTTTAAGCGCAGAACGGAAGTATTTCCTTTCTATATTATCGGTGAAGTGTTCAGGGCAAATGAGCTTTTGTGGATTCAGTTAGCTTTTGCGTATTTATTTTTGGTAAGTGATACGTAATGCCTTGTCACGACTCGAAAGGCAATGCGGGACTTTATAGTCTGTTATAGATTTATGCCCGTTTCTAAAACGATCACAATTTTAAAATAGTCGTCTCTTTTCTTTCTTATACATCGTATAACAAACTTAGTTATGTTTTAGTCTCGCAGACACAGCATTAAAAAAAAAAGATAAAAATATTTCATTAACATAAAAGAGCGACTCCCGTGTTTATTCAGCGATTTTTTCAAAATACAAAACTATTGTTTTGCGTCGGCGACCGTACGTAACGCCGTCAGAGCAAAAGTAACAATTGGTTTTGAAAAAGTAACTAATAAGCCATCCTAATTTGAACAAAAATTTTCAATGTTATTTTGAAAAGCTGTTAAAATCGAAAACTGTGCAGCTTGTCACGTTCATAGACAAGGATTATGTTACATGTGAATCACGTGAAACGACCTTTTGAACACACGCGTGCCCCAGGCCGCTGCCCGATTTAACAACATCTTCTTAAAGCTTTTCGATAGACATGCTACATATTGCTACATATAAGTCGACCTCAAGAGTTTCTAAGCAAGCGGAGCGTTCTTTTTTAGGCCGCGAAGTGACCGAGCGAGCTACGATTTCGCAAGTAAAAAATTCTAGACATTCTAGCTTTTTGACCGTAAATCAAGAAACCAACACCAGCAAGTCGCCCGGCTGGGCTAACTGGACAATATCTTCAGTCGCCCGAGGCCAAGTCTTGCGCCGTTAGAGCACAGCCTTAAGTCTTTGTCCTCCTGTACGCTGTAAGCTTACTTTTCCCTTCTTTCCCGACGCAGTATCTTTTCTCGGCTTGTGCAATCCAACCTGACTTGCACGTGATTCAAAGTTGCAGCCAATAAAAATCACACAATTTATCGGGACGGGCAAGGGATACGGGAAAGTTAAAAAAAGGCAGTTTTTGACTCCCAAGAAAACGAAAGGAATGGGCTCCCAAATTTAAGACGCTGGCTGACTACGTCATCCCGCGTAAATAGGAAAGCTTATATAGACCCGACAGAAATAAAGGCCTGAGCCGATGATGTTTAAGCTCTTTACGTCTTACTCATTAGGAAAGGTGATTAAGTGGCAACGCTTTGGTACATCAAGCTGAAGAGTTATTCGAGAGCTTTAGATTCGAGGACGACATTTAATGTTAAGTTTTCTAGCCCATTCTCTAAAAAACAGACACCCCAGAAAGCATCATTGTACTTAGTTACCATAATAGTTAGCCAATGGAAAGTGACTTATCCGAAACATCGACCCATCCAACGTTTGAACGACAGGAGCCCGTACGATTAAAATTAAAAAACGTTTTATCACTCTTGAAAAAAGGCAAAGAGGACTTCTACCTCCTGAGATCATAAAGCAAGTGAAAGAAGCCACAACTCTTTGGAAAAAGCAAAGCTTATAATTATAGAGCGCACAGACATAAAGATATGACTTGATTCAGGGTCCAAAGAAAGTCAGTTAACAGCCTACCATTCGGGCAAGCTGTAGCTAACACGTACCAGCCCACAAGTCATTTCAACTAGCCCCAAAACCCTTTTTGATTAGCAGTATTGATTAAAATCCTTCTGTAATTTGAATTCCCCCAAAATTGCCCGTCGGGCAAGTTAAGGGCAAAAATCAACTAGCACGATAGCAAAATCTACTAGCCCCGGGCTATCGAACACGACTTTCTTTGCACGCTGCTTGATTTTATTTAAATTCAGTATTTCTCACTCATTAGGAAAGGTGATCGACTGGCAATACTCCGGTCGATAAAACTGGATAGTTAAAAATCTATGTTACTGACTGGGCCCTAGATGTTTAAATCCATTGGATAAACGCCTTTCCAGGGAATAACACAAACTAATTATTAGTTATTTCCATTGTTACTTTTCCTATGAAAAGTGATTCAAATGATGGATAGCCTAATCCAATGTTCAGACAACTGGTGCCTGTATGATTAATATTGCAAGTATAACAGGAATGCCTAAGGGGGTGTTTACATGACACCGGGGACAACTTTCACGCTAGAGTGAGTTCACTCCGGTTCCCCCTCATGGCTCTGCATTTGTTTACATGATATCCCCAGAAAATGTCATGCCGGCGTGAGTCACCCAGGCGCGAGTTCACTCTGGTTGTTGTACCGGGGTAAGAAATTCACTCCGGGTCGAAATCTCACAACAGCATCATGTAAACGCGAAACGACCACACATTTCGGTGTGAAATCAGTCTGCTGGTAGACTGGAACAGGTAGCAAATACGTTATGTATGCGATTTTGAATCACACATGTATTTTATCAACATGACGTGTACCTTCAAATAGTGAGATATGAAATGAGCCAATCATCATGTAAACACGATACGAAATCAAAAAGTAATCCCGGTATGAAACTCGCGCCAGTGCAAGTTTTCTCATGTAAACACCCCTTGAGAATTGGTGTCCACCTTCAAAATCGCGAAGTCTACAGTTGAACCTCTCCACAACGGCCACATTGGACACAGAAGAAAATGGCCGTAGTAGAAAGGTTCTTTATGAACCACCTGAACGTATATATCTCATGTGATTTTCATAATGCTGAAGAAGAAGAGATTCACTACTCATCTCCTCTTGACAAATCCAACAGGTATGTCTTTCAATGACGTCTGATCGCTGGTCTTCTATCCTATAGTCTCCAGTCTCTCTCTGTGTAGGTGTGGCATTTGTAAATCTAATCCTCACATTACTTACCGCCCTCTTACTCTTGCAAGGCAAACCTTTAGGAAAACGTTCATTACTATTGCGTTTATGCCGGTGTTTTCTACTGTGGACTTTCTCATGACTCTTAAGGTGCTGTGATTGACTAAAACACTTGCCACACTGTTTACATTCGTAAGGCTTTTCCCCAGTGTGAACTCTTTCATGACTCCTTAGGTCTCCTGATTGGCTAAAACACTTGCCACACTGTTTACATTCGTAAGGCTTTTCCCCAGTGTGAACTCTTTCATGACTCCTTAGGTCTCCTGATGGGCTAAAACACTTGCCACACTGCTTACATTCATAAGGCTTTTCCCCAGTGTGAACTCTTTCATGTACCCTTAGGTTTCTTGCTTCACTAAAACACTTGCCACACTGTTTACATTCGTAAGGCTTTTCCCCAGTGTGAACTCTTTCATGACTCCTTAGGTCTCCTGATCGGCTAAAACACTTGCCACACTGTTTGCATTCATAAGGCTTTTCCCCAGTGTGAACTCTTTCATGTCTCCTTAGGGTTCCTGCTACACTAAAACACTTGCCACACTGTTTACATTCGTAAGGCTTCTCCCCAGTGTGAACTCTTTCATGCACCCTTAGGTTTCCTGCTTCACTAAAACACTTGCCACACTGCTTACATTCATAAGGCTTTTCCCCAGTGTGAACTCTTTCATGGCTTCTTAGTTTTCCTGCTTGGCTAAAACACTTGCGACACTGTTTACATTCGTAAGGCTTTTCCCCAGTATGAACTCTTTCATGACTCCTTAGGTCTCCTGATCGGCTAAAACACTTGCCACACTGTTTACATTTACAAGGCTTTTCCCCAGTGTGAACTCTTTCATGCCTCCTTAGGTGTCCTGATTGGCTAAAACACTTGCCACACAGTTTACATTCATAAGGATTTTCCCCAGCGTGAATTCTTTCACGCATCTTTAGCTTTCCTGCTTCGTTAAAACACTTGCCACACTGTCCACATTCATGAGGCTTTTTCCCAGTGTGAAATCTTTCATGTATCCTTAGGTTTCTTTGTTTACTAAAACACTTGCAACACTCTTTACACCTTAAAGACACAGATTGTAGCTTTCTTTGCACCTTTTAGACATAAAATAAAGACATTGTCATTCAACATTCCTAAAACATTAAATTTAGCTAATTAAAATATATTTGATCAAATGAAGAATGATCCTCGCAGTTGTGAACGCAATTCATGCAATTGCATAAGACTTCAGGACTTCAAAGGGATTTGAAGCGGTGACCTTGTAATGCTGGTGTGATGCTCTGACCAACTACGCTATAAAGCCAATGATGTTGGGAGCTGGTCAACTATGTTCATATTTTCATATGCAATTGCATAAATTGCGTCCACTACCATGAGGATCATTCTTCATTTGATTTCATTTCCACAGTTCTCATATATGATTTATTTCATATACATTTGTTTAACTATATGTTTGTACGATGTAATGCAGCAGCATCAATTGATGACAGGCTGCCACCCCAGGGTCACCCCTACAAACTGGCATTTTTCTTTTAAGAGCCAAATAATCCACAGTAGGGAAAAAAAGATACTTCCTCCCGGGATCATTCCCAACACAGTACTACAATAGTAGTAAAGTGCTGCCACTTATTTTAACATGTGATTTCTTGTTACTGTATGTCTGCCTTCCATCATTTAATCCTCTGTAATAGCCAGGGTGCAAAGAAAGTCAGTTTGACTGCTTGCCATTCAGGCAGGCTGTACCTACCACATACTTCCATGAGTTGCATAGCCAAGCACTCTCATTTGTACTACAGTGTGCAGTTAAGCAGGCCAAAAAAGTTAACATGTTGGACAGGCCCAGGTTGTTAAAACACTGGAAAGCCCCATCCACTGATAAATCACTAACCAGCGGACAAACATTTTGGATAGTGATTTATCAAGTGGATTACATTATCCACCTTTTAAACAACTGGCAGGGCAATTTCTTTTTGTATAAGAGGGCAGTTTCTGTATACCGATTATCAGTATGCAAATTTGGCTGCTGAGGCTGCTCGGCCAAAACATAATTTATGGCTGCTTTTTCCCTGTGCTTAAAATAAAAAATATATGAAAAAGAAAAGATGATTGTATTTCTTGTCGTTTTAGAAACAGGGCAGTCCCAACTTTGGTGTCATGACAAGCAAAAACTAAGAGAAAGAAGAGCTGGTTACACTTTGGTCAAATCCAGAAAAAGCTAAATTTCCTAAACATTTCTTTGATAATACATGAAAGAAAATTAAAGATGACTTATTTTAAAACATTTATAGTTTTGGACAGCAGCACTTTCAAACTTTAATGGAAAGTTCTCACTGGAACTTGAGAAATCTCAGTCAATTATTTCTAGCAGAAATTGATTGATTGATAATTTAAAAGTTTATTTTCAATCTAATTAACTAATAAAAAACAGAGTTTTCCTCTGCTTGACCCAAACATCTTAATGAAAATTACACAAGTCTGCCATATTCTCTTTTCCCCTTCTGTTAAAAACCTGAAAAATTGAGCTACATTGCCCACATTTCTCTGAATCAGTATGGCACAAAAACTTAATGGGTTTCATTAGACAACATGCAGGTTTCTTGCACACTTAACCTTAAATTACCAAGTTCAGCAATCAGCAGAGCAGTAAAATCAGTGTGCACTTACAAAATACTACTTGACCTGCTTGGAAAAATGTCATGACTTTTTGATTTCGCATCATGTTTACATGATGATGGGTGTTTTTATTTCTAGGTTATTTGAAGATACACTCTATGTTGATAAAACACATGTGCGATTCAAATTGCAAACATTACGCGTGCGCTACAGTATGTGGTCCTTGGTCTGCAACTTTTCTGAACATGATAAAATATTTCATCTAGAAAAAAATACGGAAAAAATATGAATGTGTCCGATGATTTATGATTAGTCTTCTTACATATGGTGAAGTTTCTTGTTTTTCTTTGCAAAGTTACTGCACACCAAACCTAAGCACACGAGCGGCGAAGTCGGGAGCAACGAGAAACAAGGGCGTAAGCCTGAGAAGAAAAATAAGAGACTGCTGACTCTTTTGTTCTGTCTGGGGACAACGAAGCTGTCAAGGTAATTTAATTTATCAATAAACACGAGTAACTTGAAACAATTTATAAATAGAACATAAACAACTGAAAAAACTACTCTTACTTTAAATCTGGTAAGATTACCTTGAATTCGTTTCCCGTGAGGAAATTTATGGCAGTTTCCTTCTGTAAGATATCCTTGAAAGTTTTATTACTGAGATTACTGCTTGGTTCACTATTGTTTGCAGTTGGTTGTGACACATGACTGCGCTTGCAATCTCGACCACAGACCAGTCAATGATATGTCAACAGCTGTGCAATTGACCAATCGGTTACTCCGTTCCTAGGCTAACGGAGGGTTTGTTTACTACAAAAGAGTCAGCAGTCTGTCTTTCTTGTCTCTTCTCTGTAATAATGATGTCGTGGTTTGCAATTACGCTGGATGCGATAAGAAATAGTTGGATTTTAAGAGGAAAGGCGGACTGCAAGCAGTCTACGGTACAACAACCTCAGTGAGCTCAGGTCGTGGTGACTTGCACTGGTATGACATTTCATGATGGTATCATGTAAACAAATTAAGGGCCATGAGAGGGAACTGGAGTGAACTCACACCAGCACGAAGGCCACCCCAGTATCATGTAAACACCCCCTTAGGGCACAATGTTGGGGTGAAAGCAGCATGAAACTTCACGAAAAGCAAATGATGACAATGTTGATCTTTCTGTGTTGCATTTATACTGACTGAGAAAACAGCGTTTAAAGGCTTTTTTTTTTTTTTGCAAATCAAATAAATTTTTCTGTTTTTTCAGTTTTAATTACATAGTTTTGTTATCTTTCTGTACGCAAACAAAGACCCATTTTAAGCATGGACCAGTTATATAAAAGTAGCTAATCTAGCTACGGTAAGTGTTGTTTATGCAACAAAAATTGCCTTAAGCCTTGTGTTTTTAAGTTCGTTGTTTTGCGCATTTAAATTTCTTAATTTTTTGCTTAAAGTGACCTCAAAGAATAATGAAAAATAACAAATAAATCAACGCCAAAAAATTTTTCTGTGAACCGAGAGGGACACTTAGTCTTCATATATTGCTAGTAACTCACTTTGTTACCCAAAGTTACAGCTTTTAGTAACTAACATTATAAGGTCCATTCACTTGAATCTTTTATTTTACACGGGGATACAGAGCACTGGTAACCCTTAAATCATCAAAGATTGAGTTACGTAATAATTGGAACAGAATTAAAATCAGTGCCAAACCATTGAATCAAAACTCGGACCAATAAGTAAGAAATTCATTGCATTTATAACATCTCTTAAAATGCAGTGAGCCCTTGAGTCTAATCTCCGTTAACTGAAATGCACAACTGCGATAAAATGAAGCGAAGCACAAATCCCTCGAGATCTCGAGGGAAGCTGTCACTTAGATGAGCTTAGAAAAGCTCGTTTTTTCCGCTGTGTCAATCAATCCTGTCATTTTTTTCTGTCATGACTTAAAAGTCACACTAAGATGTACATATCACGTATTGAAAAGTTTATCTTACCCTTGTTAACAAAGTTTCAGCGCTCTTCATTGATCAACACCCACGAACTCTGACGAAGTGATCATGACCGTTTGTTTGTATCAGTGTCCCGTACATGAAGTACCTATCTATAACGTAGTACTCAAGAGTAGCTTTACCGGGATCATACTAAGTCACTAGTAATCGGCTCCCAACTGGATAAGAGAAGAAAGTCAACCCACTGATGAGCAAAGGACTCGTTGTTGTAACTTGTCAAGACTTTCATCTTTCTGATCATCTACTGCAGTCATTGTCATTCATAACTTTGGTACGCCACTCACTTTTTTTACTAGCGTGAGCATTTTGCAAGAGGCGCGAGCGCCTTACAAGCCGGAAAGGCGTATGACAGTCTCCGTTTTCCTTTGCTTTAAACAAAAGAGGGTTACAGTCTAATAAGCGTTTAAGTTTGATTAACCCGTAATAGATGTCCAAGCTATCAGTATTACTTTGGAACAAAAGTCCAACTTATCCTTTGATCTCCAAATCGGAATAAAAGGGGCCCTTTGTCAGTGCCTTGAGGGACTTTGTACCAGAAGCCTGAGCGTCAGCCGAGTGTCAGTCCAGTAGGTTGAAGTTCTCAATCCAAAGCAAACTATTACCTCACAGTAAAGCTTAAGTAGGAGTCTCTGGTGAGGGACTGTAGAAAAGTCAATTAAAGTTTCATCTGTCATGATCCCCTTATCTAATGAGGAGATCCCGTCATTAAGGACGGAGATGAGTTACGTTTTAGAAGAAAGGCCTTTCCTTTCCCCTGTAGGTGAGGGGTAAGGATATTTTTTATCTCTAGATGATTAGTCAAGTGGCTGACTCTTCTTTTAATCTTAACTGAATGACTAATTGTAGTGTTTTCCAAGACCGATAAACTCCACGAATCCTAGGATCAGAACAGACGAACTAAAACCAAAAAAAAAAAGACCAATGTGGGACTATACAGTTTGCAGGTGGCTAGGCATGTGGTACAAAAGTGACATGCTAAAGCCCCATTTACACGGCAGAAAATTTTTGGCGCGGCTTGGATGAAAGTGGTACGCGTACCAAAAAAAATAGTACTGATTACTCATTTACACGTTCTTTTTTCTACCGTTCTAAACGATGTGAAATTATGATTTGGTACGGGTAAAAGGCTCAACATCTCGGCCAGCGTACTCGATTCTTGCCTAGTGCGCATGCTGCTTCCTCTGTAAAAACATGGCGGACGAAAAGTTCATTAGAATTCCCACAGCCGCATGTGCTCTACGCACAAGGAACAAATGGGTGGTCATTGAATACTGGTGCGGTTGTTGAATTATTGTGTGTTATTGAACACACTGAACTAACGA